AAAGAGTGGGCTTCCCTCTACTGAGCATGCTGAGACAGGGGGAAGTTTTGAGGGTGAAACAGTGCCGACAGCTCTACTGGACACCAAGTTTGTTTTAGGGAAATAGGCAGTACTGTAACCCTGGAAAACTTGCTTAACTTGGATGAGTCTGTGATTATGAAAAGATTTCTTGCATTAATTGTCTTCTAACTAAGCTGCCCCAGCCCAAATATATGTCTGCAAATACAAAAAAATAGATTTTATTCTCTTAAAAATACATTCCACGCAGCCTGGAGTGCTGCTTCCCCAAGGCAGGAGCCTGCACCGCGTGCTGGGCAGCCTAGGAAGACGATCCTTTGGGTCGTTACGTTACTGACCATCAGAGGCGCCGGCAAACTGTGGCTTCGTGTTTCATCACGTACGGCGCTGTCCACTGGAGGCTGGCCGGGGAGCAGTGCGTTGGCCGCTCCAAGGGCGTGCCAGGGTGGCAGAGATGAGGTCTGCTGTATTAGAGGTGACACCAGTGTGACTGTTGCTTCGGTCTGTAGCCAGGAAATTGCTCGTGTCGAGTGTCTCTTGAAGCACCAAGGTGCGCCACCCTGCCCTGTGCTCCCACCCTTTTCCTTTCCTGGGGGTACCGTCCGCAGGACTGCGGGTCTCCCCTCACCTGGCCACCAAGCTCCAGTCTGACAAGGCGCGGCACTGGTGGTTGCACTGCAAGGCTGTCACCCCTCTGTGTTACCAGAGCAGCTGGAGGGGTGTTGCTCTGCGTGCTGCAGTGGTGTTTCTGGACACAAACGAAGCCACTCCGCGAAGCAGCAAGCTGTTGGCCCCTGAGGCTGGTGCCAGCCATTCTGGGAAAGCCGCTGGCTCTCCAAAAGGGACCAGCGTCTCCCCTTTCCTGGGGAGAAGCAAGCACTGACACTTCCTCTATACAGCAAATACATTTACAACTTTGGAATTACCCGAGCGCTCGATGCGCAGCCTCACGGCACCATCGAGCCTACTGAAAAGCCTGTTATATTTATATGCTAAAATTACAAATACTTCTTCAGTGATGGCAATATTTACACATATACTCTATTTTACAGCTGTTCAAAAAAAGTGTGCAATTTGAGTAAAACACATTGTGTTTCCTGAATTCATTGCTATAAGTTTAATAATACAATCAGCTCCTATTGCACTCATGATTAGAGGGCATAGCCCCTTTCAATTTTAAAGAGGGTTTTCCTTCTCAGGTTTAATCGTGGCTGTGGTAAAAACAACCCAGTGTAAGTTACTGAGTGACATCTGTGTTCCTTATTTACAAGCAGTGAGACTGAGTCTAGAGCAAGAGTTAAGGTATGTGCTGTAAAATACTGAACGGACAACTGAGGCAGCTGGAGAAAGGAGAGATGTCCTCTGTGAGAAGCACCTGAGGAGAGCAGGCAGGGCCAGAGGAGCTGCATTGCTGGGTCAGTCGCTGGGGCTCCTGCTGCGTGCTGTGAGCCAGCTGAGCAGCAGGGTGAAGCCCTCTGGTTGCCCATGGCTAAGGAAAAGCCTGGTTCTGGCTGACTGAAGGGGAAAACCAACAGTTACTGCTGCTGGTGGTTTTTCCCTTGCGCTTCAGACACGGCGTTGTGTTGTTGTGGCAAGCTGTGGGGTTGAACAGCCGGTGGGTAAGCCAGAGTTTTGTGGGTAGGTACAGGGGAAGCCTGTGTTAACCCAGCACGTCGTGTCCAGGGTGCAGAGCTTTCCCGGCCAGGACTGAAACCAGTTCCCTTGGAAGGAGCTTTGGAAGCACCATGCTAAGCTGGATCCATGCTAAGAATGTGAGGAGGAGAAGGCTGGTGGACATGTACAGGCACCCAAGTGGGATGTGGACCACTGTCCTGCAGCAGGATGGGGCTCATCACCAGGAGGAAAGCCATACAGTCACTGCTCAAAGCCATCTGTGTCCTCTTCAGTGCGTATGTGCTGGCCAGCTGTTCGTAAAACTGAGCTGCAAGTCCTGGGCAGCAGCGACACGGGGCCCGGGGGGGGAGGCCCTCCTAAATACGCTGCTTCCCTTTGAGACTGACCTGCCATGCCGAGCAGGTTGTCAGCAGCAGCTCTTCCACGGTGACTGTCACGGGGTGTATTATTATGTGGCTGGAGAGCTGCTTAGCAGCAGGTTAGGGACTGTAAGTGGAGGTAAATAATTACTGTGATGGCTGAAAAGGCAGGTGTGTGCCAAGATGCTTAGTCCTGTGTTAAGCAAGCAGGTGCTGCAGGAGGCATTTGGGCCGCTGCGGAGCAGCTGCGCCAGCTCAGAGGCGTTTTTGCAGCAGCGTCTCCCGTGCAACAGGTGGAAGAGGACCTGAGGCAGCATATTTAGCTTTGAAGGGAACTATTTAACATGAAAATAAGGGGCAGAGAGTCAGAATGTGGCATCCCGAGGCTGGCAGAGGCTGCCAAGCCAGCCCGCCCCTGAGAGCCTTGCTGAGCTGTGGCACTTGCGGTGTCTATCAGCCGTGGCAAGCCTGCACGACCAGGCCAGGGAAGCTGATGCCAGTCAAGCAACCGAGCCCAGTAATGTCTTGTTTGTGTGTGGCGGTGGCGACCCCGCCGTACGGTTAACCGCTGCGCGCAGCAGGGTGCCCAGGGTGGCTGTTTGCTCGGGCTTGTTTAAAAAAAAAATTCACTGTGGTTTCAAATTGCGAAATAGGCACTGATCTTCAGCACTTCTGATAAATGTGGGGCAGGGGGAGGCATTTCAGAAATATGAATTTAACTTCGGAATTTCAGTTTCTTTCACTTTTAGTTTGGATTTTGAGTTTAAAAATGTTTTCCCATTATACTTGATGATGTATTTATCCCATTCCCTACCAGCACTACCATGTCATGAAATGGTAAGAGAGAGCCGTTGATATAATTTATTTAATTATAATTTAATTAAAAGATTATTAGAGCTGCCACTTAGTACTAATTTAAAAGCATTATCTTTTTGTCTTGTTATGCAACGTGACACTTACACGTCATGAAATATAAAAGAATAAAATGAAGGGTTAAAAATATAAATTTGGGAAACCATCTAAAAATTGCAAAAGGAAACACTTTTTTTCCAAAAATAATTTTTCCCTTCCGCCAAACAATCTCTATAAAAAAAAAGTCATGCCATTGAACCACTTTCCTTTTCATATAAATGTTTTCATAGATATTTTCCAACCAGCTCTGGTTTTTTGATTCATTTGCCTCTCAGAATTGAGGCATATAATTCCAAGGGACAAGAGGAGACAGAGCACATCGCTGTGCACGGCTGGGCAGTCCCGTGTGCCCTGCTGCGGCAGCTGCGCCCCTGGGAGGCGAGATGGGGAATGAGTGCAGGGTGCAGTGTGGGCGTGGGTGCTGCTGGGTGGCAGCTGTTCCCACAGCACCTCCCAAACATGGAAGGGACCATCTCCCTTCGGCGGCATTGTCCTTGTCCCTCCGCAGAGTGGGACGGCTGTTTCCAGCAGGCAGCAGAAAGCACTGGGGGAGGTCAGCGGTGTCTGTGTAGAGGACAGGAAAACTGGGGGCAGCCCTGCAGCTGGGTGGTGGGATGTAGGGGAAGGGCCGGTGCAGCTCTGACTGAGCAAGCCAGACGCAATCGCCTCCCTCAGGGCAGCTGCTGCTCCAACACCTGAGCACCTCTTGGAGCTGCAGGGGTGGCGTCTCCCCCCCCCACTGATGCCATCTGCACTGGGTGGCCTGTGGGTGCTGGCAGGGTAACGTACCTCTGTATTTGAAGCAGTCTCTGACCATACCTGGGTCCCAGACGTGGCAGATGGGGTGGTCCTGAAGAGGGACACAGACTGCGGCTGCCCAGGTAGCCACGCTGGAGCTCAGCTTAGGGTCCAATCCTGCTGTCCCCACCCTGTTTTTGGAAGGAACAAGGACATTCTCTTTGTCCGCAAGGAAAAGCACTTGTTTCTTTTTCCTTTAGAGCTCAACTGCTGAGAAGAAGCAGCAGAGTTGTTGTCTGGAGAGCATGATGGACATAAAGCTTCAGGCAGAAAAGCAGCCCAATGCAACTCGGGAGGAAGGTTCACTGCTGCGTGAACTGCTGTTGGTTTGGCTCAGAGGATGCTGCTTGGTGCAAGCTCTCAGCTGGTGATGAGTAGGTTGTGCAAAGCTTGTTGCAGAGACTGACAGCAATAGGGAAGAAACTGCTTCTAAACGACATTTGCTGCTCTCCTTCCCTCTCAATGTGTAAAGCAACCACTGGGGAATGGTCTCCTCCTGCCTAGAGACAGAGGGTGCTGGGAACACAGGTATTGAAGTGACCGCAACCCAAGCCAACAAGGGTGTATCAGGAGAATGCAACCCCCCCCCGTAGGAACTGAAAGCTTTCAGGTGTGGAGCCACGTAGGGCAGCTGTCACGGGCTGGCGGACTGTAGTCACGGGATCTTGTCTAAACGTGAGTGACGAACGAGACGTTCTCTCCTGTGCGGGGAGTACCGTTGGTCAGAATGGCCATGCAGTCAAGGCTTCCATATGGAGACAGACCTGTCAGCCCATGGAGAAGATTTAGATTGCAGGTACAGAGATGAGAAGTGGGAGTCCCCTGAGCAAAGTCTCTGCAGCTGCCTCTTCAGCAATGGAGAAAAAGAATTCACTGGTAAAGCTCCTGTACCTTGCAAATTGCATTAGAAAACTGGTTTCAGGCTGGCTAAAGCCTCCGGAGAGGTTACAAACAGGTGTGACGCCCGTGAGCTTGGTACTATCTCGCCTCTTGCTCCACTGTGCAGCGTGTTCGTTGAGCAGAAGGGAACACAACTCATCTCCGAGATGTTGTCCGGCAGGCACGGGAAGCACCCTGTAAGAGACAACCCCGCAGCATCACAGACTGGCCAGGACACACCTCTGGCAGTATTTTTGCTCCAGGGAAGAGTATCGTGGTTGCCCTTTGGCAGCCATCCCAAAGCCCATCAGGATCCTAGCCTGGTGGTGGGGCAGGGGAGGGCAGTGGCAGGATCGGTTTGGAAGACACAGTCTCTATCAGCATTTACAGGGGAGTAAGACCAAAGCGGAAAGACCTGGCCCTGCCCCACATGGGCAGGGGCTATTATTTATATTTTTATGCTGTAGCATACCCTGCACCCACTTCCACACCCAGCACGTGGATCTTGCATGTGAGATGCACAACACCTGACAGCACAGATGGGGCCGATCTCACATCAGAGCACATCTCCATGTGCAAGGTGTTCAGGCTCCTGTTACAGTCATGGAGGTCTGGGCAAGAGAGAAGAGCCAAAGGATGGTCCGCATGTTACAGGGATTCACCCAAATTCTTACTTGCTGTGGACCCAGTCTGTGCAGACAAAGGAAGCAGAGCACGGCCTCAGGTACAGGAGTCTGCATCTGGCCAGATGAACGTCACTGTGGGTAAACCTCTCAGTGACCACAGAGCGCATCGCTGTGCTGTCCCTTTCCTCAGCTACCAACGAGGACAGCACCAGTTCGCTACCCTCTACTGCAAATATTACCCATCTCCCAATGCCAGTCTGCAGAGCTCAGCTGGGACCATGTCCCTCTTGGCTCTTGATTTTGTGCAACCTCACCACGAGGCATGACTATGTAGGGCGCTCAGCTGCCTCGCTGCAGTCCTGCTGCTCTCATACCAAGACTCAGCAACTCCCGTGCACGTCCAGTAAGATACACTGATGAGATGTTTGAGGTCTTAAGATACATCCTGCTGTGGATCATCCATAAATGGAAAAAATTCCCTTTGCTCTGGTCAGCTGCACAGGCAAAGAGGGAATGCCAGGAGAAAAAGGAAGTGTTTTGTACAGACATAAGCATGGCTGTGCACCTAGGAATTAAAGCCTGCCCGGACCCTCATCTCCTCTGAAGGGAGTCCCTGTGAAGAGGCTGGAACACATGTTTTTTTTCATATTTCAGGCAGTAAGTCATAGTTACTATAATGCGGGCCATTTTCCACTTCTTTGTGTGTCCCGGAAGATGTGTTTTAGGAGGCAGAGCAGCAGGTATGTAGCAGCAGAGAAGTACAGTACAGCAGCCAGCTGAAGCAGGAAAGTCAGGGGCTCTGATTTTGTCTCTCCAAACGGTTTCTTTCCATCACTGATTGTCCAAGGTGTGCTAGAGGACGACTAGGTGCAGTGCCTCTTATTCCCTGAGAATGGTTTTAGCCATAAAGCTAGTTGAAACAAGTTTAGAACAGAAAAATAAGGCAGTACTTTTTTACTGGCACAGGAAACGAGTAGAATTAATTCACCAAAGCAATACAGCAGACACTCCACCTCTGGGCAGCGCGAATTTAAGACTGGATTTCTCCTAAAAGGTTTACATTCATTTTGGTCAAGTGCTCTAAGTTATGTTACTGGTAAGTCAATTCAGATATTGGCTTCTTGCCTTGTAACTCTCTTTTCTGGATGGTCCTTGAACTCACATACCTGCTCCTCCACCTGGAGACCCAGCGGTGCGTGGGGGTTGGATTCGGGGTCCTGCAGCTCCATCTTGGTGGCTAGCCTTTTCCCGGGTGTGTCAACTTGTGAGAGGTACTCAGAAGAGCCGTACTGTTTTCTTCTGGAACTGGGCACAAAATCTTTGCTTTCATCCTGTGTGAAAGAAAACAAAAAGGGTTGGGACTCAGGGACTATGAAGGGGTCTGGATTACCACTGGGTTCCTGCCCCGAGTTTACAGCATGAGGTGCTGGCTTGAGTCCCCTTGGCAAGGAGAGACTCTGGCCACCAGGCCAGCTCTGGCATGTCCTCACTTTCATAAAAATTTCTTTTTTAAAAACCATCCAGTAATTTTAACCCAAGTTATGGGTGCAGAGTCTTCCGTTCAGCGAAGTGGCTTGAGCACAAGTCTGTGCTTGGTCTGCCTGGCTCACTGGGCCTGGAGTGCCTGCATCCATGAGGGACTATCAGCAGAAAATCCCACAGTTTACTGACTGAAGCCGTTTCTTAAAAGTATTAACTCTGAGTTTGAACTACCATGGGTGGGTGCCCAGCAACCTGATTATCCCGTTTCCTTGGCAATGTGATGTCCTACAGTGTCTTCCTGCTATAGGCATCTAAACGGCACTTTTAAACTCACTAGTGTTTTCTTGAATGCCTGCAGGGACATTTATGGGATCATACCCTGGGATTCAGACGCCTACAGTCAGCCTTAGGGCTGGTTCGGGCACCCCTGTCTTTTACTGAGGCTGCACCCTGCTGTGAGTCGTGGGGGGTGAGGGGTCCCTGTCACCTTCCAGCTCCTCAGGAAGATGGCAGTGCTTGTGCTGTTGCTGTTGCTGGCTGGAAAAACCTCTTTATCCACAAGTTCCAGGACAGCGTAAGGCACCATCATGTCAACATCAGAAACCAACCAAATCATTACACTGGTGAGTTTACAATTTCCGTAATGTAATCAGCTGCACTGCACTGTGCTGCTGAAGGCTTCATCAGCTCTGCCCGCTTTGGGGACGGCATCGTGTTTGCTGAACCATGCAGCGCATGGCCCTGTGAAGGGGCTGTGAGCACTGGTGGAACAGATTTGGTTCCTGCCCTGTGGCAAAAGGAACAGCAGGGAAGGGAGAGGCAGCAGCCCCCAGGCCTGGCAGAAAAGCATCTCTGAGATGGACACCAGGCTTTGATGGGCTCTCAGAAAGAAGCTGGGACATCTCGTGGGTCTGGATGGACAAACATCTGCCCTGAGCTGGCCCCACTGTGGATGACATCCAGGAAACACTGGACCTGACCTCCCCCTTGGTGAACAGGCACAACACAGGGGCAGGTCCCACAGGAACCTCCAGCCAACCATGAGCCAGAGATAACCATGGTGAGCCAGGCTGCTCATAAAAGTGAGGTGACAGTTTTAGTTTAATGAATGGCAGTCATCTTGATGGACCTGGACAGCTTAGCAAGGGCTAGACACCTCTCTATTTCTGATACAGTAGTTGTCTTTAGACATGAGGCCACTGGGCGAGCACATGGGAGCTCCAGCCCCTTGGGCATCTGACAGCGTCAGTCTGTCTCTGCTGTCAGGCAGCATGAATTTATGACCCACATACACTGGTCTCCTCAAAGAGTTTTGTAGGTAAAGAGCTGGGCTGTCAGACTGGCTGTCCCCACGTGTCGACGACGCAGAGCAGTACCTCCTGGTAGTGCTCCAGAGCCAGGTCAGTGCAGAGCTCAGCGTGCTCCGTGGCACCCAAAGGACACCAGCTGGTCACCGACAAGCACCTGGGAAGCTGCTTTGCACAGACTGTGGCCCCAAGGCTTCGCACAAAACAGAACGGAACCCTTGGACAAAGCCACTGACGCCCAAGGAGAGATGAAAACGCTGCCGTGGTGTGGCTGGCTGCTTAAGCGGAAGCTTATGTGGAGTCAGCAAAGGTGAAATGGTGCTGGATGCCCTTTGTATTAGTCCCTAAAGCAGAGGAGAGAAGGGGCAAGAGGCAACAAATCCCTGGATACTGTCAGGGAGACTCTTCCATGAGACCTGCCCACCATACGAAGGCACACACAGCTTCACTTGAAGAAAAGCCTACCTTTAGGTTTTTTACCTAATTTGTGCAGCAGACAGCCTGGCTCCAGTCGTATCAATGTCACAGCCACAAGAAAAACAAATTAAGTGCATTCCTTTTGCACTGCTGCCTGCTCATCTGCTTGTGGCCTGCCAGGGCCCTCGGACTAATTCGGGCACTGCAGATTTTCAGCAGTCAAACAACACACCAGAGAAATACCGCCTTCATTATCTGAAACACGAAGCCCAACGGAACAACCGCTTGAGGTCTTGCATCTCCTCGGGTCTTTTATGGGAGCCCGAGACAGGCTGTCTGCAAGCACTAGAGGGAGCTGGTCCTCAGGCTGCAGCACCCATCCATCAGCAACCACCGCTCCCCGGGTGTCCCAAAGCAGCGCTCCAGAGAGCTCCTGCTCCTGTGGCACAAGCATTGCTACGAGCTGCCGAGACCTCCTGTAACTGCATTAGGGACATCTGCCTGCCCCGGCGGCACAAAAATGGAAGGCTGAAATTACACCTTGTGCCTTGGCGTCTCCTTGCAAGAATTATTTCCAGGTGCTCGGTTTGGGTCTGTCCTGAGGGCAAGGCTGAGGCAGAGGCTGAGCCTCCAGCTTGCTTTAGCCTCCTGCTGTGCTGCAGCAAAAGGTCAGACATCACCAGTATTTCATGGAGGAGAGGAAGACGTATTTTGGCAAAACCAGGACAGGCCTTGTGTTTCCCAAATAGGATTCCGAAAGCAATCTCAGGCCTTGGATAGTGGAGCTGCGAAAAGGTGACGGTGATGCCTTCACAGGAACGCTGAACGTGCAAAGTCAGCATAGATCAGTGCCAAGCCTTCTGCCAGGGAAACAGCTACATCTTTAACTGAAACACAAACCCCAGCAGAAACAGACTGCTTGTGATATGAGGCATATCCTAAGCCTGAAGATACCCTTCAAAGGCAGATACTTTGTTTTTTTTTTTTTCCAAGGGCATATGCAATAATTTGAGCTGTCCAAATACAAAAAATTTGGTATGTCTAGTGTGTATCTGCAGTCTTTCAGGGTAACTTCATGCTCCTCATTTACAAGCTAAAAATATACTTAATTTATGACCAAGAATTCAGATTTGTGACTATGTGGTGTCAGGGTGATTTTATTTCTAAGTATGATGCAGAGAGAGATACCTAACTCCATACTCAACAGCCCTGTGCGAATTAACTACGTAGTTGTCTTCCTGACTGCTTGTCACTGCAGACACGGGCAAGGCTGGAAGCCAGCTAATTCATCAGGGATACCTAGGGTGACCACCCAGAGGTCAGGGTGCTCTGTCAGGTACCCTTCAGCTGCTGTGGCAGGCACACCACATAGCAGGCAACTTTGATCTGACAGTGACCTTAAGACCACCCACAGAATATACTGCAGAGCTCTGCTCAGCCCTGGGTGGGCTGCTAGGGGGAAGATGGGAAAAAAATACATGAGTGCCCACTCTTTAGGGCTCCACCATGGACCACACATGAGCCCAGCTGCAAGCAGAGACCTCTTCGGCTGTGAAACTCAAGGGTTTGGGTGCTGCAAATTCAAACTCCTGGGATAAAGGGAGGCCCAGGGATGGACCTACCATACCCCAAGCACATAAGCTGCTGAGTTCTGCCTGGATTCACAAAAAAGTAGACCCTGGCCAGGGAGATGATGTATTCTCAGTGTCCAAATGTAGCTGGAAGGCCAACCTGCACTTTGTAACACCAGGCAATAGACTCTCTGCAAAGCAAAGCAACAGTGCAAATTCTTCCATACCTCTCATTGCCAGAGAAGTGGAAGAGAAGTTTTGCAAATGTAAAACTCCTTTCACATCTTGACCACCTCATCTGTGTCAATGCCAGAGTCATTCGGTTATGAATCTGTCCCCTCTGCCACCAGCCCTGTCAGATTATTCAGCTGGGCTCCTCCTGGAGACTGGCACTGGCAGCAGCTGCCTAGAGCTGCTCCGAGGGAGGAGCAGAGGCAGGAGCTGCAGCAGGAACCAGCGTGTGGTTGAATGGACTGGAAGGGCACTTGGTGCCAGTGAGCTCGCTTGAAATATACTGGAGCGTGCGGCTCCAGTGGCAAGTACAGCTCACCCAGCAGAGGGGCTGCATGTGTCAGCCCTGCTTTGAGGTACTCCCCTCATGGGGACCAGCCAAAGCAACAGGAAAAGAGCACCGCCATCCCCAGGGACCAAGGAGGGAGCAGCCCTGGGTACGCAGCCACCACTCATCTGTTTAGGAGATGCCCAGGAAGTATTTCCAGACCAGAGTCTGGTTTCACATGGGGAAACCGTGCGGCTCTTACCAAAAGGAGCTCTATCTCTACAGCTGCTCTTGGAGCTACTGCTCTGCCTGAGGCACAACTCTATTAAAATCTGCTCATTTCCATCATTTTTTCATTACTACTTCAAGTCGACAATGCCACGCAAAACCACTCTGCAAAGCACACCATGGCCTACGTAAGCTGTGACTACGTCTTCTCTGATCTTGGCAAGACCAAATGCTACTATATAGTTACTCATATGGCGTTACAAGACCCAAGCAGATGGGTCTAATTTAAAGAAGTCTAAATCGGGTACTTCACATAGGAAATGCTCCACTGAAGACAGCAGGAGCTGGGGAAGGGCAGCACTTCAGGAAATAAGCTGTAAGAATTTCAAGTCAGGCGCCCTGCAAGTAACAGGCAACTTGGAAAACCTCGTCAACTGGAAGACAAGAGTGTTTAACACGGGATACTTACAGGCAGCGTGGTCCGGTGCCAAGCAGAAGCTGCTGTAGGATCACTTGCATAGCTCCTGCGTGTTAGCAGTTCAGATGCACTTAAGTTACTTTTGGTCCTTCGGGACCCCAGCTCAGGGGCACTCCAGGAATTAGCTGTGGCACTGGTCCTTTCTGAAGTCTGCTCCAGGGAGTTTGTTCTGGCATTGTTCCCTTCCATTTCTAAGAGGTCCACTGAGGACCTACACGTGTTTGTAGTGCTGGAAGCTGCACTTTTCTCCACTTTGGTTTGAGAGTCTTCCAGGGAATGTAAGCCTTGTCTTGTTCTCCAGGAACTTCTCACAGTGACATGTTTTGTTTCGGATGAAGCTGCATCTGAAGAGCCATGGCTCTTCCAGCTGACTGTCTCCGAAGGCAGCTCACTGTTCCTCTCCACGAGTTCAGAAGTCTTTATCATAATGCTGCTTCTGGACACCACTGTTTCTGCTTTACTTCTCAGCGCTGCCTCTCCAATTCTGTCCGTCTCAGATGATTTCAGAGCACTTTTATTAATCGATATCTCCAAGGGTGTGGGGAGATTGTTTGTTACTGGTGAAGGCTCATTTGGCGCAACTCTGATGTTGCTGGTGGTAACATGCCGTTCCTTTGCTGCCGTATCTGCACTAGTCCTTGCAGCTGTTGGCTCAGAAGGGAAGATTGTGATGCTGCTTGTCATTTTATTTGTTACCATTTTAAAAACAGACTTCTGTTTTTCTGGCTCTGACTCAGAAACAGTCCCTCCCATGACTGCCTTCATATCCTTTTCAACAATTGCAGGTTTAATGACAGCTTTTGATCTCAGAGCTTCTCTCGGGCTGAATGACCTTCTGGATTTAAATCCTCCAGTGCCATCTGATGGTTTTACACATTTGGTGGAGTCTTCCTCACTTACAGTGTTTTTGTCATTTTCAAAAAGTGATGCTCTAAAAACTCCCCTGGAATTGGAGAACTGCTTGGAACTGACTTTCTTTCTTGTCTCAAAATCTGACTGAGTGCTTGTTTTTTTGCTTCTTCCCGATTCTTCATCTGAATTAAGTTTTTCCTGGTTACCCTGGATGGTTTTGGAGTCTGTTTTTAAGCCAGTACTTACATGATCCATTGCTGACGTTGAAGACTGCTCTGTGTCGTCTTTATCAAGAGCTGTAAGAATCTGCAGAATGTCCTCCTGACTCCTGGAGTGATGGGAGCGCTTTGTTAGTGTTGAAGGCTTTGCACTTTCAAGTGATATGAATTCTTTTTCCTGGGAGACGATTGATCTTTTAGCCCTCCCCTCCGAGGGCTGTCTGTGTGATGCAGCAAAAGTGTTCACTGCTTCAACTTTAGAGCCTGTGGAGTCTGACACGGACACGTGGGAGGAGAGGTGGTACCTGTATGCCGAAGCTGTGCCGTTGGAAGCGGCGTGGTTACCCCTGGTGAGCAGCATGTCCCCCGAGCCGTCACCGACTTCTGCCTGACTTGTTTTCAGCTTCTCGGCCAAAGCAGCCACTGATTCTCCTTTGCTTAACTTCTCATCCCGTGCGTCAGCACCGGTTTGGCAGTTGCCACGGAGCACCTGAGATGGCTTTTCAGCCTTGGATCTTAGGCCTGTTTCACCAACAGGTTTGGAAGGTGCTTTCCAAGATTTCTGCTCCTGTGCAGCAGGAGGGTATCGGCTGAGCACAGATGGCTGCTCTTTTGATCTCTTCCCCTCATTCTGCATGATGCAGCCTTCCTTCTGACCAGCAGAAAAACTGGAAACTAAAGATTTCTCTTCCAGTCTTTTTGTATCTGCCACAGCAGTGTCTGGAAGGGCAGATACACCAGATGCTTTTCCTGCTTTCCTGTTCATTAAGCTTGGACTGGGCACCTGCTTACCACCGTGGCTGTAGCTGTCATTACTGACAGAGAAATCTCTGTTCCTTGCTCTTTCCCGGCGCTGCTGTGGTGAGAGCTCCCTTGGCTTGTGCTTGGCAGCTGTCAAATCAGCTGTGACACCTCTGTATTTAGGTCTGTCATGTTTTCCCCTGCTAGAAAAGCTTGTATCTTCATTTTCCACCTCTCCGTTCTCCAGATCTTTCTGTTTCTTTATTTGCATTTTTATTTCTTCTAGCTGGCCCGTTAAGAGTTTGTTTTTATTCTGTTCACTCAAGTAACTGTCTTGCAGGTCATTGTTTTTGGCTCTCATTTTTTTAAGTTCTTCTTCTAAAGATTCAAAACGTTTGATCTGAGTTTTAAGTTTCTCAATTTCTTGGGTGAGATCTTTCACTTTGTTGTCTTCCTGATTTTTATTCTTTTGGTTTTCTGATTTATTCCTGGTTTCATTTTCTACATGTTTCAGGTAATCCACACTTCCCTTCCTCCTGGTCTCCTTAGAGGGCAATGCAGAAGTCAAGTCATCTTCAATTCTCAAATCATTTCTGTCCAGGAGATTATTTGATGACCTTTCTAGCAAGTTTGATGCATTTCTACTTTGATCTGCCCTATTTAGTTTATTGTTTTGCTCTAGTTTCTGTGTTAGCTCCTGGATTATTTTTTCATTCTGTTTTTCTCTTTCATTAAAATGTTTTCTTTCAGTGATAAAGCTCAGTGCTAAGGATTTCAGTTTTTCTAACTCGCCCGTCAAGCTCTGCTCAGTTTTATCCAGCCTGTCCTCAGATGCTTCTAGTTCTTTCACTTTCACTCTAAGTATTTCTAATTCCGTAGATATTTTTTTGGTCAAGTTCTTTTCTTCATTGAGGCTAAGACACAGCTGCGTACAGTCGTTCTTGCTCCTGCCGAAGGCCTCCTCCAGCTTCTCCAGCTCTGCCATTCTCCTTTGCAGGTGTTCGATTTCTGACTTCAGCTCTCGGGTGAGGCTCTCTTCCTCTTCAAGTTTTTCTTTCATTAACCGACAAAGCTCTTCAGCCTTCCTAATTTCTTCATCCTTGCCTTCGATCTTCAGCACTCTCTTCCGCAGGGCTTCAACGTCAGCAAGCATGCTGGAGTTGCTGCCTTCTGCCTGGATAACTTTGTCCTGGAGGTCAAGCAGCTCATCCTCTGCCTTCTGCAGATTTTTGGTTGCTTCCTCCAGTTCATCAAGGCGGCGACTAAGACTCTGCAATTTGAATCGTAGGTGCCGATTTGAGGTTTCCTTGTAACCTGTAAATTCTGCCATGTTTATTTTTTATTCCTTTTCGGTGAAAGCTTTGCTTATTCTGGGTGAATGGTGTGGCCTTTAACACCTTGTGTATTCCTGGTACGTTATCTTTTCTTTGAAGAGAGGCAATCTCACTCTGAAAGAAAAAATGCTTAATATCACTATAAGACCTCAGAATATAAATATTATCACCGTATTAAGTTAGATTACAAATGTTTATAGAAATAACTTTTTAACTAAACACATTTCTGAGTGCTAAATTAGGAGAAATGAAACTGCAGAGAAGAGCCACAGTCCACGTACTTCGGTTGTACAGGGTTTGCAAAAATAGCCTGTCCCCAGTAGCTGAGGGAAGGACGTGCCCTCCTCTGCTGGTCTGCACAGGCAGTGTGTGCACAACCGCCAGACCCTCACCCCAGTGCTCACCAGTCAGTACGAGCTGCCCACATGCAAGCTCTTGGGCTGCAGGGGTTCATGCACGGGCAGGACCTGGGTCCAAGCGCACGGACAGGCCCACGCAGCAGAGACCTCTCTGTTCAGCACTGCACCAGTCTCCTGAAGACGCCTTAGAGATGAAGATTCAGGAACCATAAACAAGACCTGGAAACTAGAAAATGCAGCCCCCAGCCATTTGGTGGCCACTGAGGAAAGGACGAACCCCCACACATCCAGCTCACAGACAAGAGGGTGTGAGAGCTGCTGCCAGCAGGCCCTGTCCATCGCTGCCAGTATTTCTCCTGCAGCCCAGGCTGCTCAGCAGAAAGCTTCCACCTGGGCTGTAGTCACATTCCGAGGACATTGTGCCAGTGGAGTTTCAAGTTTCTCCCTCCTGTTTCAAAAGCTGCTGTTGCCCTCGGCTGCCACCCACTTGCCCAGGAGATGAGCAGTTGTGAACGCTTATGCCTCTCCTCCTTGCTGCTGCCGACAACGAGGGGGCTGATAACACAGGGGCACAGTCTCACGCACTAAATGTAGATCTCTTCCCAGCTTAGCTCAGAGGTGGCAGGGCTTTTTTAAACAGCCCCTCTGTGCTTGGCAGGGAGAAGCAGGGAGGGAGACCTCAGCAGGCCAGAATGGTTGCTGGGAGGATCTGGTCTCTCTCTGGTGCTCAGCATTTAGCCTCATCCTGTCCTCGGCACGTCCCCAACATGCGTGAGGACTACTGCAAACTTGAGGGGAGGGGGGGTGACTGCAGCTCTTTGACCTGCGCCCTTGCTCGGGCCGTCTGCCTTGAAGCAGGCCTTGGCCTCCAGCATTTTTGTGGCGCTCCCTGCAGAGGAAACACTCGGGAGTTTCGTATTTCACAGCGCCAAGAAGCAAAGAGCAGGATGCGGGGAGCAGACAGCGCCATACGGGAGTCTGCAGTGCCCTGACCAAAGCCTTTGGTGGAGGTGATTCACTTCCTGCCGGGCAGGCGGGCCAGGGCTGCCACAGGCACCCGCTGCGCACACCGGGCACCCTGCGACCCCTCTCCCGAGGGACCTCCCTCGCTCTGGGGGGTTACCACCCTTCCGTGCCTCAGACAGCTGAAAGGAGCACCATGAAGAGCAGCCGGAGAGCGGCCACAGCGCCCCGCATGCAGCCACGCG